CCCTATCCAAGAGGATTCAAGAACACTATCCAGCATGGTTGCGAAAAGGCAATAGTGGTGCTACAAGGAGTGCGATAATTGAACACCTGGTTAACACTGATCATTCCATTTCAACAAACGCCTCCTTCAAAGTAATATACAGAGTCAAGAATAACCTATCAAAGGTAATGCGGTTTCGTCTTCTTTGTATCGCTGAAGCTCTGGCCATTGACATAGAAAAACCGGAGCTGTGCATACAAAAGAGGATTACTCAACAACTTCTACTGTCTTGGTAACAACTTTTTTGATTTGATTTGGTTTTTTTGATTTTGATGACTTAATTTTGTTTCTTTGCCTGTTCTTTAAATGCTTATGATTCTTGTATTCATTTAGAACTCTTACGTAATTTCTTATTATCTACTTTGTTCCTGTGTGCATCCTGAGTAAAACTCACTCATCAAACTATTCATATTATTACATAACTTCTTTTAACAACTGTTTGTGACAACTCATCACCTTTGTTACTACCCTAATTTCATTAAAATCTGATTTTCTTGACTGATTTTGTATTACGTAACTCCAATTATCAATCTTCACCTGTTTATTTAAAATAAGTATAACCAATTGTATTTTTGTTTGACAAACTTAATGCACACATACATACAAAATAACACATGTATATTTCCGACTGTACAGCTCAGAAAATGAATTCGCCGAAAAGAGACTCTTCACTGATCCATGTGTTTTGTTTTCATTAATGCCTGGATGGAGATTATACTAGATATATCACACATTGAAACAGTATTATTTACTGAATGACTTTCCGAACACAATGTATTGTTCATGGTGATTCCGTCAATTGTAATCACACGACTTCGAAACTTTGGTTTTGTAGTTTTCTGCAAAGTTCTACTACCCATACGACAAATAGGAAAGAATAAAGAAAACTATAAAACGAAAGTTTCGAAGGTGTTGATTATAATTGATGAAATGATTATGAACAGTAGTACAGTGTATATTTTTTTATTTTGATTTGACACTAGTAACTAGTGTGATGCATCTAGTCCTCTCTTTGGTGAAGACTGAATTCTATCAGTCACGTTGTAATGTGGCCACCATTCTAGGTAGCTCGCCATCACGTGACTGATAGAATTCAGTCTGCACCAAAGAGAGGACTAGATGCATCACACTAGTTACTAGTGTCAAATCAAAAAAATATATCCACTACAGTCCTACAGGAGGTCAATCGCGAGCCCGAATAGCTCAGTGGTAACGTCTCTGACTGCAGCACTGGGTGACGCGGGTTGGAATCTCAGAAGGGACATGAGTTCCTTTAAGGTTGCAGATACGCCTTGCTGACGAGTGCCAACTAGCACGAAACCTAGGTCCAAGGCTTCCTGCCGATTGCCTCCAACCACCTAATATCAGTAGTAAATTGTGTTCGAAACGTCATCCAGTAAATAATACTACTGTTTCACTGTGTGATATATGGTCTAATAAACAAATTAATATGAAATTGCATACTACCACAGTGACCTAGTTTTATACATATATTGATAAGGCACATCTTACCTTGTTCAGTCATGTCTGAGTCATGAATAGTCATCGAATACAAAGTTGTATGATCTGTGATCAAGATTTAACCGAATTATTAGTGTGTTTCCGTTCATACTGTAAACAGAGCGTTCATTTATATCAGGCTTTAATGAAAATGTTCGAATAAAGGTAACGGTGACCTGGTATGTATTAAGCAAATCGGAATTACAACCATTAGAACCCTTCTCTTAAGTAATCTTCTGTTCACTCAGTCTATCTGTTGTTACACAATATTTTCGATACTTGTCACTACGCTGCTTCGCATGTCACCTAATTCCTAACAACTTAGCCTTAACCTCTTGTCGTTGTATCTGATGAAGATGAATATCGCCTGCATATTGAACTCATGGAAGCTCCATAAATTGGTTTCGTGGAGTTCACTAAGTTCAGCGTGAAGACGAGTACTCACTGACGATATTGATTGCCAATGGAGCAATATAGTGATTGACAGAAATCTAAACTGATGAGACATTTGGATGGTAAACGTCCCCTCTTCGTTATCTCAAGGTTCTGGTCACATTCAAAGACTGTGTGGGACGCACGTCAGAGAGTGACTATAGGCGTGTATTTTCCAGAATCGTAGTATTAAACTTATCATGGGAATCTGTTGCCATGGTCACATAAATTGTTGTATAAATCATGCTTGATTGCATTTGGTCAAATAGCTGATAGCAGTATTGTTTTTAGAAGAGGCTGATTCATCCCTCAACATTTCACTAGTGACATCGACCTTCACATAGTGAAGTGAGTTCAGTTAACCTGGATTTCATGGACTTCATTTGCGATCAACACCGTTCTACTGAAGTGAACGTTGTAGTTCAATAGATTAGTTTGCTTGGAAAGGGTTTATTTTATTACCTAGCTAGAATAGAATAGAATGGAGAGACTGTGTTAGTGTCTTATAGGGTTGGAACGTCAGAGACCTTGTGTAAGGTTCTCAGTGAGGCTGGGATTACGGTGTCATTTAAATCAACCAACTCCCTCAGTTATCAACTTTGTCAGTTTATGGACCCAATGGATCCAAATAATAAACATAAATACAACGCACCCAATAATACCAACACCGGAAGCAGATCTACCAGTGGACATCAACCCTCCGACGAAAACAGAAATCCTGAAGGCCGTGAAGGTGCTAAAAACTGGAAAAGCAGCAGGACCAGACGGAATCCCAGCAGAGGCATTGAAAATGGACCCAGAGACATCAGCGAACTTGATGACACTACTACTGGAGAAGCTGTGGAAAGAGGGCAAGGTACCCGGGGATTGGAAGAAGGCCTACTGATTCAAATTGCCAAAGAAAAGAGACTTAAGCCAATGCAAAAATACACGTGGCATTATGCTCCTGTCCATTCCAAGCAAACTACTAAACCATATCATCCTGGAGAGAATCAAACACGCCACCCTGCATGAAAAACTTCTACCGGAACAGACTGGATTCAGGAGCAATAGGTCATGCATCGATCAAATCGCAACACTACGGATCCTCACTGAACAGAGCTTGGAATGGCAGTCAGCTCTCTATCTCAATTTCATCGACTTTGAAAAGGCCTTCGACAGCGTCTTCGAAACTACTTCGCTACTACGTGGTGCCGCCAACAATTATACACCTCATCCAACAGTTGTACGACAATTCTGTATATCGAGTCATCCACAGTGGGAAACTCACGGAATCCTTCGAAGTGAAGACAGGAGTAAGACAAGCTGGCTGGCTGCCTACTATCTCCAATGATTTTCCTGATTGGGGTAGACTGGATAGTGCGACAGAAGCACAGCGGGCAGCGAGGAAACAGGCATAAAATGGACCCACACAAAATATTGGAGGATCTGGACTTCGTTGATGATATGTCTGATTTCTCACAAACTGGCAGATATACAAGTGAAAGGAAACAAGTTGGCAGAAGAAGCATCCAGAGAAGAATTCAGGTGAGCATGGAGAAAACAGAAATGATGAAGATTCTTTGCCAACAGCGACATCAACAACTACAGACAACAATCAGCCGGCATAAATGTGAGAATTGTGTAAGAATCAACCTCCTTTACCTACCAACATTGGAAGGCCGAACTGATGAGGATATCACCAAAGCGAGGATCGAGGAAGCAAGGCAAAATCTCATTACTCTCAAGTCTGTATGGAGATGAACAGCACTCAGTATTAAAAAAATAAGATCCGGATCATATACAGATCATAGACTTGGGGCGCCACGAAGACCACTTAGAACAAATTATAGACCTTGATCAACAGCTGTCTTCGCTCAAGATCAGATGGCCAGAAAATATCATCAACATGGATCTCTGGGATCGAACCATCCAACCAGGAACCGATTGTGCAATAAATATGCAGGAAGAAATGGAGGTGGATTGGCTGGCCATACTCTAAGAAAACGAATCATCAAGTGACATCACACACCAGGCCACCGCTCGAATGGAACCCGAATGGGAAGCGGCGAGTTGGTTGTCATGGAGGAGGCGGTGTGAAGAGGAGACGAAAGCATGTGGGCAGACGTGGAGCCAGGTGAAAAATTTGGCAGAGAACTGAACGCAATGGAGAAGTGCGACTGAAGCTTTATGTTCCTCTAGGAACTAAAGGAAACAATTATATAATATAATTATCTAATGGCTATGAGGTCAATTACTTAGGACTATGGAAACATAATAATTTAGCCAGACCTGGAATGATTAACCCTGCTAAGTTAAATAACCTAGAAGAAAGCTGAGCAGCTGCAGTGAATTCACTTGCATGTAATCACAAAATAAGTTGGGAATCGGTAGAAGTACTAAAAAGTAATTTAGTTAGGTGGAGAGAGAGGGCTTAATCACGGAACCTTCGTTTATCGATTGAACATGTTACACGTGCAATCGAAATGACGCTATGGCTGTACCGGAGATATGTAAAGTGGCAACAAACAGCTGGGGGAAGAGAGAGAGAAAAAATAATTAAGACAAATCGTAAAGCCATGTGATTAAATTGAAAACACATAATTTAACGTTGCAAAACAGAATTGATTTAGAATGACAAGCGGTATTATTTCACTTGTCCCACTTGTCTTTCTAAATTTGTATGATTATTAGCAATAATTAATGCTCGAAATGTCATCCAGTTATTAAAGCTACATCACTTTGTGATATTTGAAATATTCCCATTCGAACATTAATAGGCAGAAGACCAGTAGTTCAGCGAATTCATTTTCATAGCTGTACAATCGCAAATATATATGGTTGTTTTGTATATATTTGCGATTGTACAGCTATGAAAATGAATTCACTGAAAAGAAACTCTTCGCTGAACTACTGGTCTTCTGTCTATTAATGTTTAAAATATACTTATCTAATATAGGATAAGATTCCTACATATTATTGTCTCACTACTTGTGCTTTTTCATGCAGAACAAAAGTCAGCAAGAGGAGACCTCTTCTAACGTGAATCCACGTTGACTTATGATCTACTTTTGTTGTTGTATTATACTCCAGTGTAGAATGTGTAGACTTTATTAGGGGGCAGAGATGTCAGGCCGTGATTTTCCAATCAACTTTTTGAGTTACTCTATTCTCTCACCCTCTCTCAATAGACCGTTGTGATTGGACTACAAAAGTCTCAAGTAGTGATTTTAATTGGTAGTTAGTGACCTTGAGGGCATAAATAATGGATCATGTGACTGTAAATTAAAAACGCTATCGTAGTGAACAATATAATTGCTAAAGTATACACGTTATGGCTAGTATTAAGGCGATAGTAGTTGGGGCTTTGGCTGTCTCTTGATTTTACTGACATTCAGAGAAAATGAAGTGTCCTGCATGCAATAAAGAAGTTTACTTTGGTAAGTCTGAGCAGTTGATTTTTACTGGAATAGCTGAACGAGTCAGTTCACTTGGTCAAGACTGGCACCGTCCGTGTTTAAAGTGTGAGAGATGCAAAAAGACTCTCACTCCAGGTTCTCACTGTGAAGTAAGCGAATTCATTTTTATCATTTCATTTTAAATAAAATATAAAACGAATGCAAATAATTTCACTTGAAGTCGTTTAATCCCCTCTATGTTGTTCAATCTTCATAACTCAGATGTCTGTAATTAAGTAGTAATCCAGACGGCTTTGTAGCAAGTAGTTTCACAACACTAGTTATTGCTACATCTATGTCTATACGTACAGCTACTTGTCTGTTTCGTCAATCGTCTTTAAGAGCTGCTAACAGTTGCTAGTTATTGTATCCTCGTCTTTGCAGTGACAATATCACAAGGATAATAAACTGTTAGCTAAGTCTTGTTATTTAAATTCTTATTACCGTTAGTAGTAGTTTTCATTTAATCTTTAAATGCACTCTTTATGTACACTGGCAGTGCTCAGGAAGATTTTTAATTCTCTTAATAGGAAAGACATTCATAAAAATTTGGTGGTCTGTTTATTACGATGAACGTGAATAAGAAATATATTTAGTATTTCCCTTTGGTGTCACAACCTTGTCTTAGAATGTCATTCAATTTCAGTCGGCCTCCAGAAACATCTCTCTAAATAACCATTATTCTTAGGTGATGTAATTCTTTTCCTATGTTTCCACAGTTAGTCTTCTCGATAAGAGCCAATACTGTCAGATTTGATGTATGAGCTGGAAACTTAAGTGAAACTTGTGGTGCTCTTTCTGAGCTCAGCTTACTAGTGAACCCATCTCATTGAACAGTTGAGAAAAAATCACTCAGACGAACCATATACTAAACCTGATTTAACGCATTATCCAGCAAAAGTACATTGATCACTACTAATTCCAATCTCATGTTGTTTCCACTTTAGCACCAAGGGAAGCCTTATTGTGAAAATCCTTGCTATAGGACACTGTTCGGTCCCAAAGGTGAGTCGTTTTGATTACTAAATTTATAAGCACTTAGTGTGAAATATGTAGTTTAGATTAGTTGGTAAATTATATTGGAGCACGGCTAACCGCGGTCTTCCGGCTGTAGGTGGTATTTCTGGACAAATTGAAGATAGTGGTCGGTTCAAGAGTCTCTTGAATCGACCAGCCCACCGTTCCCATTGGTAATTAGGTTCCTTTCACTACCTTTCATTGGTTTCATCTGTGCTGATTTCTTCCCTGATAGAGACTTGGTTATCTGATATAATGTTCTGAGTTGTTTTTGCCTGTGACGTGTTCTGCATGAGCTGATAGTGTGTCGTAAAATAGTGTTTTGTCTCTCCTAGCACTCGTCCTCACTTTATTCATACTATTGTACATTGAACTCGACTTTTTCCAATGTTGTCCACCTTTGGACTGGTTCATTTTTCTGTTTAACCAATGTGTTAAGCTGGGTGAGGGTACACGCTATCGCAGGTCAAAATTTCCGCTCTTTCGCTTCAGTATACTTGTATGGCTGGAACGGAGGCGGTCAATTATCGTTTAATTTTCCTTAGGTAGTTGATTTTGTATAACGGGCCTGGAGAAATGTTGTAATTATATCAGGCGTTGCATTTGGCTGTTAAAAAGGTGTGCGTTGGTGCCACAGTGGTTATGACTCTCGCCGATCATGCACATGGTCCGGGGTTCGATCCCCTGCCGACGCACACCTGATATCTATGGTTGGCCTGTAAAATTCGGGCTACCGATATCACATGCTGAAAATTCCATACATGTACCAGAAAATACGGTGTGGAATCAAGCTGTCATCAAAAAAAAAATCAAAAATATTTATGCATCTAGATTATCTACTGTGACGTTTGCTATACTATGGGCGAAGAACGGACAGGCTTATTGGTTAGCCGTGAATTAACGATGTATTTATGTGCTAACATGATAACCTGACTGAACAGTTTCTGAATTATTTACTCATGGCTTAAATTTCTGGGGGATTGCGATATCATAACCAGTCAGACCTGTTTGTTTACTAATGGCCTAAGTTCTTGAGGTTTTGTATGTACCATATACTGTGTATTTTGTCTGATAAACACTGTCTTGGTTGTCACTGTTGTTGTCGATCTACATCGTTTTCTCATGTCTGAGTTTGGTGTTTACCTCAGTGTGGAAGTTATTTAGTTTTAGGGTAACGTCTAGAGGCGCATTCCAGCCAAGTTATGCGACACAGTATCACTGTCACATATTTCGGTGACAGGATCATAACGCAATCCTCACTCAGTAAGTAAGCTTTCGCGTGTCCTCGGAGTGCTGCGTCTTGTCTGGATTCTTCTTGCTTCCTGAAACGGCTGTACAAGTCTTCAGTATTACTTTCACTAAGTTTCGATATCGTTCCACGCAGGTTTCTACAGTGGTGTTGCTTAGTGTCTCCAACGTTCTCCAGTAGTTGCTATGATAATATCTTTTGTAGCTTTCTCCTTCAATTTCTGAATGTTAAAATTGAATTGTGGTCCATCTACAGCTTCTTTGATAGCTTTCAAATTAACCTCAAAGGCCCCTTGGACTATATAGTGATCTCAGACCACATCTGAAAAATCTCGATTTATTTCGGGTTCTCTTCATGTGTCGTTCGCTATCATTTTGGCATCCATATAACTCATTAGGACTGTTGTTTCTCCGTATGAGATCTTGACCATTACTGTTTACAGTTGTCTGTTTGAAATCTTCCTTCTCTTGTATTGCGTTGTTTGTAGGTGCTTAGCATTGGATAATCATGACTTCCGTACCCTTTTGAATCGAATCTTCATGTCATTATTCTGGAAGTGATTGGTCCCCACTGGATAAGAGCTCCGTATATGTTGGTGACATAATGATAGCCATTGCCTCGGTATGCTTGTCTTTGTCGTTTGGGTGACCGAAGTAGATTATTGAGTCTCCAGCTAACAATTTGGATAGTCCACATCCATTTTACCTGCTCTCACAGATTCCTAGTGCTTCCATGCCATATCTCTTCACCTATTCGACAACCTGGGCAGCCTTCTTAGCTTTGAACATCGTGGAGGTATTCCATGTCCCTGTAGTGCAAGTTCCATTGTTTTAAGATTTTGTTATGGCGTGTACACATATGAACTGGCTCCAACACCATTCCGCGCTTTTCGGCTGTGCTGTCAAAATACACATTTTTAAAGTTTGTAATAGCCATATTCGTTATTCCTTCACTTTCCCAGTGGAATATAGGGCTTCAAGCCAGAGGCTTGAAGATTCTGTAGCAGTGTTTATTTTTACAGGATGGGGTTGCTAGCCTCACGCCTAACCTTTCCTCTTTACCAGCTTTATTTCTGGCGTAGCGAGGTAAAGGAGTGCGTCGGCCGAGGGTCGAACCCTAGACCATTTGCATGGTCGGCGAGCGTCCTAGCTGCTGTGCTACCGACGCCTATATTCGTTAGCTAAGTTCTAAATTTTTTCCCCTGAATAATCTTGACTTTTTAGTTGAATCAAATATACTACTTTCTCGAGTTTATTTCCAACTAAGTCTTTAATTTGCGTTTTGTCGTCAGTGCTCTTAGGTTAGGTAGACTACTGGTTTATTGAGTAACTAGTTGAATTACGTGCAGTAAGAGCTGGTAAAGTAGCTGATCAACAGCACTACTAGTACCTTACATCTCCATGCTTATTTTCGCTTTTATCTACTGGATAGCTTCCCGAAGGTTCTTCACTAGCCCGTGGCATCATTGCGTTTCTCCGATTCTAGCGAAAAATGAGTTCATTTTCAATATTTCTTTTGTACGTTGGTGATTAAATTGATTTTCCGGGGTAGAGTCTCTAGCCCCACGCCCGACGTTTCCCTCTTAGGATCAGCTACGCAACTAGTGAGCTCGTAGACTAAGCGAGGGTAAATGCATTAGATAGTCGGCTTCTCTTGGTAATTTTCACTAAAAAAGAAACAGCAATGTGTGTAGAATGCATTGTGTTCATTATCGATCCATTTGGAAAGCAGTCTTTATCTGTAAGACGTTGAAAATCAGTGCTTGAATAATATCCTCTAGATGTATGGATGGTCGAGGAGATCTTTAGGTGTTTCCACTGATTTCTGATATCCTATCTCATTTTTGAGCGACAAACGATGAGTAGTGGGTTTGTTCTAAAAATCTTAAATCATATTTATCTTTTTTGAAAAAAAAGTAGTTTTTACCGAAATCACTGCTTTCGCTTTGTTCATTGGGCATTTAATTTTGACAGCCTTATCAAAATTAATTCAGTATTGCTATTAATTTAGCTTGAAACAATTGTTGGCTTTTGCTACCGAGTGCTTTATTTCAGGGTAAATTTTGACACATTTCAACATTGATTAGAAAACTATTGAAAACCATAGAGCACTGGGCAGCTAACTGTTTCCCCCTAGCTTTTATTTTATATTACGAATAATATTACTGTGACATAAGTATAAAGATAAAGATTTACCCCTGAAATCCTATTCAGTGATCCGTATATTTCAATTTTTCAGGTTATGGGACCGTGGCCAGCAGTCATATCTACAAGTAAATAACGAATCATCAATACCAGATAGTCATATAACTCCTCGATTTCAATGGTCATGTAATAATTTTTTATAAGAAAATATTCATATTTATTAAAACGTTGCCTTATTTCTTCATTTTCTTTCTTGAGATTTTGTGACGAAAATGAATCTTAGAAGTTGCAGGTTTTGTTTTCCACTTTCTCAGAACTACTGTTTAACTTATATTTTCAGTGAAAAGTGAGGAGTTGATTATCTAGAGCTAAATGTTAGTTTACTAGCTTTAAAATATTCACACATGCAGCAACAAGTGTGTCTCAAAGAAAGTCACACATTTACGTAATGAGAAAGTGACTAGTGAAACACCTTTCTTTTTCGTCACGAAATATTTTGCACTGTCTGAACTACATTGTACCTCGATAGATGATGCCCAAATAAAATAAGTTAATCGGGACTATGTGAAGTGATTTATTATTATTGGGTTCCGAGTAGTACTCAGGGCTTCACCAGCACGTCTTCATTTTGTCCTATCCTCTGCAATCCGCTTCGGTTCTGTCTGTCTGTTTTCGACATAGAACTTTGCACCAATGTGCGGCAGTTCAAGTCGCCACACTCCATGTAGCACACAAAGCAAGAGAAGAAAGTAGGAGAAATGCATAATAGAGACAGTAAACAGCGGTGTGAGACAAAGGAATAGTAATAACGAAGAACAAAACAGTTTAATTGGAAATCATAAGTCACAAGGAGTGGATGCATCTGCGCCACTGAGAACGATTTTGAGCCATGTCACCAATTGTTTCCAACCATTGGTTTTTACCGTCCCGAGGACCTCAACCAGTCAGGCAGTCTACACCTTCCTACGTGGCTTAAAATAACTATTGTAGATTTCATTGACTGGTGCCATGTTTTGGTTTGACCGCCGCTAGCTCTTCTCCAGCCTGACCCTATGTCAGCTAACATTGCCCATTGTCGAGGAAGGCGATGACTGGGCATACGTAACACATGTCCTAACCATCTCAGTCGATTTAATTTCACAGTCTCGTCCATTGATTTCCTCTCCTTACCTAGCACTCGACCGATGTCTCACCCTCTTATGCCATCTAGCGCGGTAGATAGAACGCAGATACCTATGATCAAAGACAGATAGCTAGTCTTTCCATGTCTTCCACTTTCAGTGGCCATGTCTTACAGCCATAAAGGAGGACGGAGGGAACAGCTGAGCAGTACACCCACCCTTTGGCGGATATCACGTCTACTCCAGAGACGGTGTAAACTGGAATATGCGAAACTAGCCCTCTGTATCCGTGCTGAGATTTCGTCAGAGATCAACCCGTTGGTGCAGGCTGATGGTACTTCCCAAATAAGTGAAGTGGTCAACGTGCTCTACCACTTCACTTCCTATTTTTAAACTAGGAGTCAGTGTAGTCCAGTCCTGTAACATCATCTTACATCTGGTGGGAGAGAATCGCATGCCAAACATTCTTAGATTTGCAGCTCAAGGTGTTCAGAAGACTCTGCATTTTGTCAGTGTCCTCGCCTAGAAGGATTATATCGTCTGCATATTGTAAGTCAACGAGAGTAATCCCTGGTAGCAAGTCAATCCCTGAGTCTCTGAAGTGAGTTAGGGTTAAGTCCATTAGTACATCTGTGATGGAGTTGAATAAAAATGGGGATAATGGGCATCCTTGACGGACGCCACTAGTCGTCATCACTTCAGATGACAACTCGCCGTAAGCCCTCACCTGGCTACATGAGTTCGAGTAGAGTGCCTTGATCAGTGGAATCTGCTTCGGTTGGGTTCATGACTACCAATAGGCGCTCATCCCTTCCTCACACGATCTTCTCCATGTCACCGTTGGACGCCCGTTTCTCACCCGGGTTCCACTCGAGGGCCTTGCATGTGATGTCGCCCAACGGTGTTTTCATCGTGTGTCCCATCCATCTCTACTTCCCTCAAGATATATGTTGAACAGTAGGTTCTCGATTGGTTCGTTCCCAGAACTTCTTGTTAGCGATCCTTCCTGGCTATTTTATCTTAAATCTGCAGGGAGTGCAGTTGTTGATAAACGTCTGAAACCTGTTAAAAATACGCATACTGCTAGTTTCTGACCCACATAAAAGAACTGACTTGACATTGGTGTTGAAAATCTGAATCTTATGTAGAGTTTAAAAGATTTCTAAACTGATTTCATCAGAGTGATGAAGGGTCTGTCTTGTCTTTCCGATTCTGGTTTTGACATCAGCATCGGTGGTGTACACTTGTAGTTGAAACGATGCTTCCTAGATCAGTGGGGGAAATGACCTCTTTCAAATTTCTCCCGTTGGTAGTGACTGGTGTTTGCTGGTTGGCTGGTTGGTTACCTTCATCACCTTTATCTTCTGTATGTTCCCCTGGAGTCCTAACTTCTCTGGCTGCTTCTTCCTACAATTTGTTGGTTTTCGCCTGTAGATCGTCTAGTTAGTATGACAGAAGACACAGGTCATCCACAAAGTCCAGATTTTGTAGAGTCTTCTCATCGGTCCAACGTATTCCTGTCTTCTTTCTCCTGACTGTCTGACGTATTATCCACCTCACCTCAATTAGGAATATCATTGGTGATAATAGGTAGTCTTCGCTTCAAAAGCTTCACTGAATTTTCCGTTGTGGATCACTTGACACGTACCATTGTGATACAGCTATTGAATGAAGTTGTTAAATAGTTGGTGCACTGTGTAATCCCCAAGTAGTTTCCGAATTACTTCTCGGTCAACGCTGTCGAGGGCCTTTCCGAAGTCTATGAAATTGATGAAGAGGTTTGATTGCCATTCAGTGCTCTGTTCGATGATGATGCGTAGAATTGCGATTTGGTTTTCCTGAATCCGGTTAGTTCTAGGTGTTGTGCAACTTTAAATCTGTATATGATAACGCGAATCGGTATTTTACTTCAGCAGACTGTGTCTCCGCTTTCTTCAGGAGGAGATAAAGTATATCTGAGTTTTGGTGTGTCCGTCAGGTGAAATTCATGGTGCCATTGGTATGTCCTTTTACGCGCTGCCTCCAACTACTAAATCACTCCATGTGTACAAGTCTACGAAAAGTTCTACGTTATCGTCCATTTTTCCAAGAGCCTCTGGACCCTTGATGAGTACTTTTCCCATATTGTCTGCTCCCAGTTTAGCATCCATATAACCCATTAGAATTTTGATGTCGCCATCTGAGATGTTATCCAGTACTATTTGCGGTTGTCTGTAGAAATCTTCCTTCTCTTGTATTGCATTGTTTGTAGGTGCTTAGCATTGGATAACCATGACTTTCGTACCCTTTTGAATCGAATCTTCACGTCATTATTCTGGAAGTGATTGGTCCCCACTGGATAAGAGCTCGCTTACTTTGTAGTTTTTGGAAGGACTGAAATGATTTTCCGAGGCAAGGTGGCTATTCCTACATCCAGCCTTCCCTCATTTCTTGGGCATAGGACTGACTATTAAACTGACGAACCAGTAAATTGGCTGTGGTTTTCTGAATGGGATGGTTTACGTAAATGATAAACTTTCCAAATCAGTCCCAATTTGTATTCGTAACAAGCAGGTAGTCGCTCCTGAAATTTTCTAGACGGCTCACTGTTAACGAATGTCTATGAAGGTCAAAGTAGTATTCTTTCTCATTGAGTTAATCGCCCTAGAGAAGTGTATTTTATACTATATGGGATTTGTACCTGTACCCTAATAAGTGATGATACGCTCGAGAGGACACGGATCCAACACCCGTCGCTCTGATCTCCACTTACCAATTAACGGAAAGTTAGAATCACAGGTATTTCCGTGGCCTTCATGCAAATAGCTCGTATTTCAACAGAAACCGATCATTTCAGTTAGTATAGGCTAATAACAGGGAATTCACGAACTCCAATTAAACCGTCAAAGAATGTCCTCTGTTTTACTGAGTTAAGTAGTTTGTAATGAGTGTTTCGTCTGTTATTGTTTCGGTAGTCGTGTGTCACTCATAGTTGACTGATTGCATGTCACCATTGTCTAACCACGATATTTGAGAGGGGAGAAATTTGACTTGATGAATCTAACACTTCGTTTGCATAGAAGGGAGAAACTGTGTTGTAACAAGTTCTAATAGAAGCTGTAAATAAAATAAGATGCAGTGAAGACAAAATCTTCTTAGTAGCACCTTTTATTTTGTCAGGTTTTGTTAGCTGTTTACGCAATCTGTAAAACATTGTAGTTTTCATTCACACCAAATTATGCAAAACATAAACCTCTAGGTGAGAAAACATTATCAGTGTTACCTGATTAAAAGAGAAGAATTACTGGTATGCAAGCGTCGATTTACAAAACGGTTAAACGCATTGTGAGTATTCCAGACAAAGACATATCTCAGCCAGCAATTTTTTACGTTGACAATTATCAATTCACAGACATCACACGATAACGACTAAAGACAAAATTATGGTTACATCACAATCACTGGTATGGTGGATAGAACCGAATATCATCGAATTAAAGGATGGGATTGTATGTTGCTCGTTTTGATTGTGTTTTAATAGTCACTGCATTACAGCTATTGAGCGAAATAAGGCCTGTAAACTGGATATTGATTAATTTATCTAAAAACAATAAAATTATGCCCCTCGACCTCATATGAAGATGGAATCAATAAAGCTGCATGTACTTTTATTATAACTTGAGCTTAAATGTCTGTCTCGAGTTGAATACAGACTTTATCATATAACCTCCAGCTAAAGTACTTATTTACCTTTCCTGTGTCCTTTTTCTCCCTCCCATTACACTTTGTTTATATTTCACCATTATCATTGCTATTTCGTTTATTGATAATATTGTAGGGAATGGTAAAACTTCTTTTCAAAGTTATGCACTTATTTAGATGTTTATGCATACAATGTAAATTGACAATACACTTCAAAGGCTATTATCAGTTAGTAACAAAATAAACCAAAGTATAGGAGAAATAACTGTGTGTGTGAGAAATGGTGAATAACCTTACGCAAATGAGAGGGTTCACTACTAATTACTTAAATGATGAATACGCATTTGGAAATAAGGGATAGGAGACAAGAGAACAAAGGATTGGTGGAAACGGGTTTTAAAAAAATGAAGTAAGAGGACCGACCACATAGAGGAGTTTATTATACAACCACCCATTCAGTCAGAAGAATAAAATTGACATTGAGGTCACTGTAGTAAAAGAAGCTGGAGAAAACGTTTCCGAATTAAAGGTTAAGATTTTTCCTCATGGATTGCTAAAGCATCAGCTGTATGAAGATGTAGGTGAATTTCATCTCAACGGCCTTAATGGTACTTTGTATATGACTGTGAATAAAGTCTCTGATGATGATGCGTGAACAGATGTAACAATGTGTTCCAGAGTCGAGCCGTTGAGTGTCCTGAGTTCTCGTTTTGACAACCGTCCTGGTAATTGTTGATGGGCGCTTCTAGGCAATGTC